TACTGTAGTGACATGTATTCACTTGACCATCGAGTGCCAACAGTTTCCTGCTTGCAATCACCCGAATGCATCCCAAAATCATATATAAACGCTGTACCCTTAGGCCCTTAGATGTTTGAACTGTTTCACGATGGTTGTCGGTTTGATTTTCGCCAGTGGATGTGATAGGAGGACCTCGCTTGTAGAGACCTAGCCCAGTGGTCAAATCTTTTTGGCAGGTTGGTTTCAACATGTTTCCAAGATGAACAGATATTATATGATATGACAAATTATGACAAGGCTTAATCCATTTGTAGATCCATTGTTGGAAGCTGATTATGGGTCAGGCCTGGAACATGATCCATTTGTTTTCTGGTAGAAAGAAGCTAGTAGGTTAGAGGCCATCGCTATTAGGTTGGAGGCCATTACTACTAGTAGCGAGAAGCTACTAGGGGCTCCTGGCATCGCTACTAGGAGCAAGGACGCTACTAGGGGCTCCTGGCCTTACTACTAGGAACAAGAAGCTACTAGTAGCAAGAAGCTAGTAGCTTGGAGGCCAGGATGATGGTGGTCCTCCAATCTCCGCAGACAGGTCCAGAGCTTCGTGTCCTCAGTCCTGGACGATGCCGGGATGCCGTGCGTGTGTGTGTGTGTGTGTGTGTTGGTTTTTCTTTTTAATCACGGGGGCAGGGGCCCTAGGCTAATTCGATCCGTGGTGTTGCGATGTTTTTGGGTTTGGGTCTGTTTGATGAACTTCAGTGGTTCTGGTGACTGCCAGCGGATCGTCAAGCGGTCTTTGTATGTCTTTGACGAACCCTTTACCGGGAAGCGGAGGGTGATGTGAATCTATTTTGGCCAAGGGTATCGAATGGAAAGACAGAACCACATGAATTAGCAGCTGTAGAACTTGCAGCTCCAGAAGCAGTTCTTCAACAAGCGACTCTGACATGCATGTGAACGAAGTGCCGACCTCACTTAGTCCCATTGATGACACAAACATAGACAAACCATTGAACGAGAACGTTGCGAATGCATTACTTTTTTCAAGAAGTGTCCTGCATAGAATTTGGTTGAGTGCAGGTAGGGTGTCAGGCATTTACACGCGGAACGCGCAGTGATCAGTGGATTTTGCTCAGGCAGTGGACTGCTTTCTGGATGATACCCTGTATGACTCGCATGATGAGGCGAGATCCTTTGTGGCGGTTTTTGTGTAAAAGTGGAATGAGGGCTCCCATAGAGGGCATGCTGCTTGAATAATGTCTCGTCATTCATCACCCTTTACAAGGGTGTCCGTAGCTTTCAAGAGCACATTGTTTCTTGCTTCACATCAACCGCTTTTGCGGCGTCTTGCCAAGCAGAGTGACATGGTGGAAATGGACCAGGATTCGTCGCAGTTAGATTCACCGTCAGCCCAGCTGTTGACGCAACTAAACTGATGAGTTTCTCAACCAGACCAAACAAGGCCCGCTTGGTGAGTAGTTCCACGATTTGGGCGAAAGCGAGCGATCAGGCGGCAGCCGTGGAGTATTTTCCGGAAGACTTCTTGGACCTGGATGCCAAGGCATGTGGTTCCAATTTGCTCATCCAACGATCCCTTTCAGAAAAGGAGAGAGACTTGGTGTTCGGGAGGGGGGTCTGGTCAGGACCCGCAGACCGTGGATCCCGACCCTGTGGAGACGGTGGATGTAGCGCAGTGGCTTCGGAGAATGGAGCAGGGAGAGTGGATGAAGGGGGCATGCATTTCATGGCCTTTTTTATTGACCATTTCATGGGCTTAACTGGGGAATGCCCCCAAGTCCATCCTCTTTGATTTCGGAGTCACTGGGATGGAGTTTTTTGATGCTTTTCGGGTGTCCCCCGGTTTGGTCCCAATTGATGTGGGCAAAGGATAGGCTCACATGGGGCATGACCCAGCTCCCGCGTGCGCGGGAGAGCTGCTTCAGGCTTTCCAAGAGCCCTGTCTTCCAGCTACTTGGACTGACATTGGTTCAGTTATTATTGGCTCCTTTCTCGGACGATGCAGCCATTGTGCAGCCCTGACTGCAGGTATGTATGCAGATTGCTTGATTGTGCATTGAATCGAGAGGTGGCCCAGCTGCAGCCTGGTAACCTGAGCGAAGGGAGATGTAGAATGTAGAAGTATTGAACATAGATTGGTTGTTTGATTGATTGATTGATCGGTTGATATGATATATAGATATGATAGATATGACATGATTAATATATATATATATGATAGATATAGCATGATAAATATGATACATATGCTAGATTGAATGGATAGATAGGATAGACAGAATAGGTAGGATAGATGGGATAGATACGATAGATAATAGATGAGATAGATAGGATAGATAGGATGGATGGACGGACGGACGGATGGATGGATGGATGGATGCATGGATGGATATATATATATATATATATAGAGAGAGAGAGAGATAGATAGATAGAAACTGGGAGGACGATGCAGAGAGATAGGAACGACTTCCAATAGCTTTTTGACAGGCCTTGAGACATTTTAGTCAGTCAGGGGCAAATTAGTTGGTTTCACAGGTAGCTGGTCTCTGGCAGCTTGGTGAAATGATATGGTTTTCCGCGATTTTGAGGGGCCCCTGCAGTTGTAGGCAGACCTGTGTATGAGGCCACAGTTGTTTGCAGCCTCGATCGTTTGGTGTGAAGTCTTGCTCCAGCAGCAAGTGGTTTTTGGATGGGCTGTGTGAGTGTTTGTTACCTTGTTGTGGAGCTCAAGGTCTCAGGTCTACTCATGTTTCAGGTCTATTAGCAATTTCGGGTCTACTCATGTTGTCTCATGCAACGATCTATTGGTATCTGTTAGCAGTAGTGTAACGATATGCAGATGCAGCCAATGAATCGTCAAGAACGGTCAAGACCCCTTCGGCGGGTTCGATGAACAGCCCGTCAGGCTCAAGTCTTCGTCAAGCCAGACAATGCTGTCCTTCTCGCGGGCAAGAGGTGTGCTAGTCTTCGACACGTCCCGTCGACACGTCCCCACGGAGCTGGAAGCACTGAACGTCATTGTTTGGAGGTGCTATACATAGTAAGTTCCTAGTAGCAAGGATGCTCCTAGTAGTAGGGCCAGGAGCCTCTAGTAGCGTCCTTGCTCCTAGTAGCGATGCCAGGAGCCCCTACAGTAGTAGCTTCTTGTTCCTAGTAAGGCTCAATTTAAGTGTTGCATGTCTTCCGAAGTCGTGTTTGATTCTCTTCGATCATGAGCAGCCTTTTATGTTTGAGGTACGCTGAAAGCAGGGTGACCACCCAGCTATGCCCCCGCCCGCCGGCGATGCAAACGGAGACTTGGATTGGAGGTTGAAGTGCACACCTTTTTGTTGGCATGTTCTTTACTGGCCATCATCCAAAATCATCGCCATCCCCCCTGGCGAAGAGTGTGTTTGTGATGTTGTCCCTCGGACCAGGATTTGCTGCCTTTGGATTGCTTGCCCTTGTCACCCGCTTTGGCCCTGGCTGGCCCTCGTGGGTCGATCCTTTGGCCACGCCCTCCATCGATGCCAAGAGTGAGACAGCCACGGGTGAACTTCAGGCTGGATCACCGGGGAATCGGACGGTGGCTCGGACCGGGTGTGGGGAGTTTAGAAGAGGGAGGTTTACAACGTTGTTCGTTGTTTTTTTTTTCTCAGGTTTTTTTTAAACCCCGGTGTCCCAAGGCTGTTTTTGTCTCTTTATTCTTCTCCTGGCCTTCCCTCACTCGTTTCCACGATTTTGACTAGTATGTATTGGGACATGTGATACATACGACACACCGTAATTAGTTGATGCAAAGTCCACGGGGTACATGAGCAATTGCAACCCGAAGGTTACGTTCTAAGGTAAGAGTTCTTGAGAGTGATATTATAATGTCCTCATCATCCTTTTGCAGGAGGCCCGTAGCACAAGGACATATTTTAATGTCTTATTTTCCTGCCGACGCCCTGTAAATCAAGCCCTTTGTGTGTCGTGTTGTTGCCCTTTTTGCTGTACACTTCTCACGCTGGGGAGACGCCAGCAGGCCTTTCCTGAAGCCGCAGCTGGGCCTCACCAACGAGGCAACCTCAGATTGCGGCTGATCGAGTCAAGCATAGAAAGATGTTTGTCAGGTTGCACGTATGATCTCCAGCCAACAAGACAAGCACAGTAGCCGCAGAACAGCTTGCATATGTTCTCCAGAAGCACGGCGATTCTCATGTTGTCAGTCACACTGGGGGAGCTCGGCACCTTTTCTTTGGCCTGACTCAGCCGCCGTCCGAAAATCCGTATGGTTTTCATGGGTGTTGCAGTCTTCTCAAAACTTCTCTCCCAACACCGGCCTCAGGCGCCAGTGAAATTGACCGCGGAGAGGCCGGCATCTCAGAGCCGATGATGGACGGGCATCTCAGAGCGCCACCAAAGATCCTGGGGGCTGTGGGGCTGATTTCAGGTGCAGGGAAGGCCTCAAGGATTTCCAGTGGGCCCTTGAAATTTCTTGAAATCTCAAGGTGTTCCTGGTCCGTGAGGCGCCCCGAGCCCAGCGCCACGAGCGCCATGGCCCTCGATCTAGGCAATGCCAGGGGGATCCGAGTGGCAGGGGTAGTGCACTGAAAAGAAGACAAACATCGTTTTTGTTGGTCCTAGTCTTTTAGTTTTTGATCGAGTCGTCTTGAGACTGAAAAGGGTAGAGGCAGAGGCAGGGGATTCAGAAAAGGAAGATAGAGCATACTGCATTAGAGGATTCTGAGTCAAAGAGTGGCAAATAAATCTTCACCAGCACTTTGAGCCCGGCGTGTTCTTTTGGCTACCTTGCCTCGCATGAGGCATACTGTTGTACCTTGCCGCTCTAGACATTCCACACAATTGAGTATTGTGTATTGCTTTTGCATTTGAAGGTTTGGACGAGGTTGTCATGGCGGGTTGGTTCCACTCACTCGCGTAACCCAGAAAGGCAGACAGTACGGCAGATAGTTTCTCATCCCAGGGAGGCATCAAGTCAGCGTAGGCAAGTTTGCAGAGGATCGATGTGAAAGCTTGCAGTTGTGCTACCTGGGTGAAGGTTTTGAATTGTTCTGAACTGTTCTGGTGTGGCAGCTCGTAGGGATTGGGCGGATGGATGGGTGAGGATGGGTGAAGACTTCGTGGTGGATGGGTGGGTGGATGTGCTTGCTCTTGGATTTGTCACATCATCCTGGGGATTTTGCAGCCTTCTATGGCATCAAGCTGCTCTGGTGCCTGGAGCTTCCTGCTAGGCCAGACGGGCGCATGGGCCACATGCAAAATGGGTGGAGGTGAAACATTGCCTTTTTTCCCCACCCGTAGGACTGTGGGGTTGTTAGATTTTTAGAACTTTGGACTTCAGTACGCCCGGTAGCCCAACTTAGCTCTTCCACAGCACACTGGCCAAAGTGACCCCTGAGTAGCGCAACTTAGCTCTTCCACAGCACACTGGCCAAAGTGATCCCTGAGTAGCGCAACTTAGCTCTTCCACAGCACACTGGCCAAAGTGATCCCTGAGTAGCGCAACGTAGCTCCTCCACAGCACACTGGCCAAAGTGATCCCTGAGTAGCGCAACTTAGCTCTTCCACAGCACACTGGCCAAAGTGATCCCTGAGTAGCGCAACGTAGCTCTTCCACAGCACATTTACCGAAGTGATCCCAGGATAGTTGTAGAGTTGTAATGTACTTATCAAGCCGTTTTTTTTTTTTCGGTGGCGGCTGTTGCCGTTGGCGCGGGCGAAGCTGCTGGCAGAGCACTTCACAACTTGCGCGTGGATGCTCAGATTTTTCCCCACCCGTAGGACTGTGGGGTTGTTAGATTTCTTTAGAACTTTGGACTTCAGCACGCCCGGTAGCCCAACTTAGCTCTTCCACAACACACTGGCCAAAGTGGTCCCTGAGTAGCGCAACTTAGCTCTTCCATAGCACATTGGCCAAAGTGGCACAGCACACTCACCAAAGTGGTCCCTGAGTAGCCCAACTTAGCTCTTCCATAGCACACTCACCAAAGTGGTCCCTGAGTAGCCCAACTTAGATCTTCCATAGCACACTGGCCAAAGAGGTCCCTGACTAGCGCAACTTAGCTTTTCCACAGCACACTGGCCAGTGGTCCCTGAGTAGCGCAACTTAGCTCTACCACAGCATACTGGCCAAAGTGGTCCCTGAATAGCCCAACTTAGATCTTCCACAGCACACTGGCCAAAGTGGTTCCTAAGTAGCGCAACTTAGCTCTTCCACAGCACACTGGCCAAAGAGGTCCCTGACTAGCGCAACTTAGCTTTTCCACAGCACACTGGCCAAAGTGGTCCCTGAGTAGCCCAACTTAGCTCTTCCACAGCAAACTCACCAAAGTGGTCCCTGAGTAGCCCAACTTAGATCTTTCATAGCACACTGGCCAAAGTGGTCCCTGAGTAGCGCAATTTAGCTCTTCCACAGCACACTGGCCAAAGTGGTCCCTGAGTAGCGCA